TATACGAAAAAGGCACGTGAAATAAAACAGAGAAAGAGAGAGAGAGAGAGAGAGAGAAAAAAAAAGATTACTTCGCGCATACCTATACACTCCTGAATGGAAAATGCGCGCAAGCGCGGCCTACTTTCCGGTGTATTCCCGGCCGCGCGAGAATATTATACGTATATACATATATACAGCAAAGACGGAGTCTCTGGCTTTTCGCATTCACATGTACCCACACACGTGTCGAGCTAAAGCGTGTATATTTATGTATATGCGTACGGGACGACATGGCTCCCCCCGAGACTGGTATATATAAATATATATATACGTGTACGTATAATGACAGGGGAGCACGTGTTGGTGGTGCGCGTAAAAAGGTATAACGAGTACCTGTACCGCGATACGGGCGGCGCGCCAAGTCTGCCCAACTGTACGTTAAAGGAGAGACTTTTGGATTTCGCTCTCGCGGGGGCATGTGTGTGTGTGTGTGTGTCTTTGCTTCATTGTTTTTTTTTTTTTTTTTTTTTCATTCCTTACAATAGGTGTATGGAAAATTGTAAGGGGGTATGTTGTGATGCCTATTATGTGTGCTTTCGGTTTTTTGGATGTCAAAGCAGATCGATCCGTTGTCATGAAATTTTGAGCATTTTTTTTCTCTTTTTTGATTAAATCAAGTATACTTTACTGCTTTAATTTCCCTCTCGTGTGTGTGGAGAAATAATAAATTGGGCGCTCGTCCGAAGTATAGTTTTTGTTTTTTGGGATCTATTGTGCCAAAATATAACGGTGATATGTCGACGTGGCTCGACCATTTATTTTGCCCCGAATCAATCATTTCGATCATTAATTTTCACAAAGACACGGTCTCGAAAACTCGCTCCGGAGGGAATATCGACGTGCAATAAATCTGCTGGTTTTAGGCACACGTGAACAGATGCAACACCCCGAGATGCTCGGCTGTGCGTGAAGTGCGAATTATTATTTATTTTTTTTTTTTTCCCTCGTGAGATATTTTTTCACACATACAATATCGTAGTCTTTGCTACAACTACACGTATTCACTGTCTTTTACACCCTTAAAGTGAAAAAATGAGAAAGAATTAATTTATTGGGACGCGTTTTTTTTTTATCTTCATAGATTCAGCGAATTTTTTTTTTTTTTTTTTTGCAAAATTGTCCGCTGCTCATTGTATAAAAGAGCTTGGACATCGCGAATAAACGTTTCAAGAAAATTAGACGTTTGCTCCAAGATCATATACACCTACGTATATAGGTATACCGCACTCGTTAATGCAAAAACAAACAAACAGAGAAAATTTCACCACGTCTTACCAAACACGGACTTTTCTACTTGACGCTCGTACACCGGCTGCATCTACTTACTCGCGTGCAAACAAAAAATATATATATATGTACGTGCGCCTTTTTTTTACGACGCTCTTCGCCAAAGGGGAGCTTTTACGGAAATATACTTTTCTCTTAAAAATGCATGGGATGCACACACTTCTTCGAGCGCAAATTTATTTTTCTCTCTCCCACGGGATAAAAGCCTCTCTCGGCCCTTGAGTTTTACCGTTTAACTTAAAAAATAGTAACGATAAACAAATAAATACAAGATTGATGGTCAATTAATAATTTCTCTTAACGCACACGCGTACCATCCATCACTCTCGTTGGCTTTTGTCTCCACATGTATCCCGATCTGTATGGTATGCGTCACACAATGTATAAATCAGAATATCGGTACACGCGGTGCGAAACGCGCGGTTCAAGTGACACGATGTGGATGGACACAAATTAAAATAACGCGATACAAAGTGACCTGAAACTCAACGTGCCGTACGGGTGTGTATGTATAATTATGTATATGTACAAACGACCTATATTTCGCGCGTCTCGTAACGAAGGGGTGGATTATTGATTTTAATGTATTCAAAGGCTACACGTACGTTGACTCGGTGTATATAATGAACGGCAGATCAACCGCGGCACGCGGAGGCGGATCGTTCACGTTTTCGTGTACCTTCGCCACGTGATTTTATACGATACGTGGGGTATCGTTATAATGGGGATTCCTCGCGGGGTGTGCCTATATTATATACTTATTGATCAAAGGAATGTATATTTTCAAATGCCATGCTTACGAATGTACAACAACTTGTGGACTGTGCTTTAAAAAAAAAAAAAAATAAAAAAATAAAAAAAAAAATTGGAACCTTAAGATCAAACGAAAGCAATGGAGTGAGCATTGCTGTTTTGTTTACACGTGTTACGTTTTCTCTAGATTCGTTCGGATTGTTTTCACGATAAACATCCCGTTAAATGGGAGGAAAAACGTATAGTTACCGTTGGATTTTATGTTAAAACTTTTTTGGTATATAAGAAATCAATTGTCGATTGTTCAACAGACAATTTTTAAATAACCAGTGCAACATTGATACTGCAAGGTTTTTCACGTCCCGTGTACGAACTATTTAGTTCGATTGACTCAAGATGGTTCAAAATACCCTGAAGGACTCCTGCTCCTGTTTAGTGTACTCTACCCACAACGACGTATAAGTATATACTTTTTGCCTGAATACGAGTATTCATATTATGGTTTTTATGAATTTCGCTACTGGATGCGTCTCGTCTCTTGTATTGTCAAGTTATCGTTGGAAACAAACTTTTTCGCAAGTATGTGGAACAAGTACACGCAAAAAACAAAGGGAAAACGCAAGTAGTAAGGGTCCACATACGCCCGGGCGGATTTAGTAAATACACGTGCACAACAAACAATAGTATTTTAGATTCATTTTCCAAGTGGATCCAGAGCTTTTTTTTTCCCGAGATTTGATTTCACGGCAACGATAGTCACACGTGCCAGTGATAACAAAAAGCTCCACGTGCCGCCGTCCATCCTCAACATCTCTTTTGGCCATTTTATGATTTTCATTACGGGAGATCTAATGTTGACTTATTTACCAACCATATCGCATTCATATATATTTATTATACTTAACTTTGATCACTCGAGTGTATAAGCAAACTGTGCATCAATTCAACGCAAAACCGACCGTAAACTTGTAATTTTTTGTAATGGCACCATCTTTCATATGGCGTACACGATTACTTTTTTCCTACGTCCCTCTTGTTTTTAGCAACGTACGGACGCTTCGGGGAGAAAAAAAAAGAACAAGAGCTTTTTTTTTTCAAAATACTCACCTCATACCGGTGACGGCGAGCGTCCTCGTCGCTCAGGACACGTCCACTGGCCCGAAAGTACTCATCGACGAACCACCGTATACTGTATACACACTGCACAGGCCGATCGTCGCACTTTTGGATAATCGTTCGAAACGAAAAAACAGAAAAATCAGCCTTCGTTGTCCCTCTTTTACACACACGCCCCAGTCTCTCTACTCCTCGTTGTTGGTGAAGGTGCACATGTCGTGCCTCATTCTCGTCTCCTTGCTCCGAGGAAGCAACGGCTGAAGGGGGAAAAAAAATAAAAAATCACGGCACCTTTTGGAANTAGCGGCGCGCCGGAAGAACGGGAGAAGAGAGAAATTTGGCACGAAAGTGACTGCGGGTGAAAGAGGAGAGAAGAAAATGTACATACATACATATATATATATATCTCAGAGAGAGTCGGCGGGCGCGGGCAAAAAACGAAGGGCGCGCGCAGCAGAAAAGTGGCGTCAGCGCCGTCAGCGGCTGAGCGGCGGCAGGAGGCAGCGACGAGAGAAGTAGAGCGCTAGTGTGCCGTGCGGCGGACGACGACACGACGCGAGTGAACGAGCAAGCGAGCGAGAAAAAGAAGCCCCGTTTCTCTCGCCTACCCTCCTCCAGAAGACGTACGACGACGCCGTAAGTAAAGCACAAACAGCGGCTCCTCGAGTACACTGCTCTCTCTCTCTCTCTCTCTCGGGGTACGTAGCTGTTTCATTCTCGGTACCGCGTTTCGTCGGCGCTCGTCAACCAAACGAAACAACAAAACAAAACAAAAAAAACAAGCGAGAGATTAAACGAGGGGAAGCTGTACGTTGTTCAAGCGGCGCTACTGCTTCCTCGGCCAGGGGGGGGGCCTCCCGCATACACAATATGTCCGCCTCGTCGGCGTACTATTTTCTCGCTTCTACGGCGCGCACCTCCTCGACGATCTCGTGTCTTTACACCCCGGGTGCCGGAATATCGATGACGAACTCTTACAATGGTGCATCGCCCCCGGACCGGTGTTCCAGTGCCTGCTGCCTTTCATAGTGCTCATCTCCCCCCCCCCTCTCCCGGCTTATTCGCGTGTGCTCCGAAACGATCAGACACAGCATATAGATATACACGCGCGTGTATAATGTGTATATGAAAGCATATGTATACGTATGTAGGTACACACCGGAGTCGAGTACTGTAGTAAACTTTGGTCAGAGTCCCTTGAGTCGCTAGACTTTTAATGCATGTTAGTAAAGGTGATTAAGCGGTAAATCAAGTCGATTCTCGGGTTCGCAAATTTCTTCGTACATACGTCACACGTCGCACCTCGTTAAGTACAATGGTGCGGGAGTTAAGGAGGAAAGGGGACTGTTGATGAGGAGAGAGAGAGAGAGAGAGCGCGCAGAGGGAGGATTAGCGGACAGATAACATGGCTAAGCGAATTTCGGAGTTTCGCCGCGCGCCGCTGACGCCTATACGTACGGGGATTACGCGCGAACGCGATTTTTGCACTAATAAATGTAGGTAGTACGTAGGTATAGTTGTTTGTAAAAATAAATATTCGTGTTTGCTTCATTGTTACGCTTTTGCGTACCTCGTTTCGTCGTAGCGAATAGTTGTCTTCCCCGTTTTTCTTTTCTTTCTTATACGTGCTGCAGGGCTCCGTTGCTTTCTATATACATATATATTGCAGCCGGAGAGAAGTTTAGTTTCCACCTCGAGTACCTATAACATACACGGGCAGCACGCACGTTTCGCAAGGTACTGTGTACACATAAAATATATAATAGAGGTGATACAGTAGCGTGGACGCACTAGAGACTAGACGTTGTGTTGTACGTAGCCAAGGCAATTGTACAAAAGCAGCGGATCTAAAGCATCGGCAGGGTTTAATTGTCTTACTCGTTAGTACATCACGAAAGTTTTGCTGTTTTGAGACGTCAGTTGCGTTAATCGAGGTAGGTAAGGTAGGTTAGAGAGAGAGAGGTTAGGTTGACGTCACGTTACATCGGGGCCCCTCAATGCAAATCGTGCGTGTAATAATACGACAAACAGCCGGCCTATGCATCGGAGATGCTACTTCACGTTTACGGGGCCAAGAACGGAGAAAGGGAGAGAGAAAGAGAGTTCGTTATATACGCGACGTTTACGTGATTGGCGCTTTTTTTTTTTTTTTTTTTTGGAGCACGACTCCATAAGATTCCGCCATGCACTCTTGAGTGGCTTTACTAACATAAAACGTGTTTTTCTTTGCAGAGGTACAGCCCGGAGGAGACTTAAGTTATTAGCTACTAATAACCACCAAGAAAACAGAGGCGGAAATAATGGCAGACGGATACCAGAGCCAGGAGAACGCGAGCGAGGGCGCGGTGAACAACAGCTCCCCGAACTCCAATTCCGTTGGGGACAACAACGCAGCCGCTGGTGGAAATGACAACGCTGGTGCGGGTAACGATGCCAAAGGACAGGCGACCGCCGGCATCCCGGGCAAGGACGACGAGAGAAAGCTCTTTGTCGGAGGTCTGACGCGCAACACCACCGAGGCCGAGCTCAAGGAGTACTTCAGCAAGTTTGGAGACATCGAGAGTGTCTCCATCAAGATGGATCCTTACACTAGAGTCTCCAGGGGATTCGCCTTCATGGTCTTCCAGAATCCCAAGGCCATTGACAAGCTTCTTGCTGCTGGTGACCATTACATCAACAAACGCAAGGTACTTTTGTCTATTTTCAATTTTTTGTTATTTTTTTTTTAATCCTTTTCATATTGTGTACATGAAAATTTTCGTACAGTCATTTATCAACCTAATGGTCCTTGTGGTGTTTCGTTGAGTTTTTATCTGGCAATTAATTCATACTGATGAGTCGATATTTCATGTAATGAATATAAAAGACGATAAAGTCCTAATCATTTCATATTTCTTGTGTGGCAATGAATGGATAAACATACATGTAGTGGAAACACTAAATATTGCAGTATGAACGGTTTTGTTAATTAAAATGTAATTACAGGTTGATCCTAAGCGAGTGAGCAAAAAAGCCCAGCACGGCAAAATCTTCGTTGGAGGTTTGACACCGGAAATATCGGATGAGGACATAAGAAATTATTTCAGCCAGTATGGCACAATCGTCGAGGTGCAGGCACCATTCGACAAGACGAAAAATCAACGCAGAAGTTATTGCTTCGTGACGTTCGACTCGAAAGATGTTGTATACAAATTACTCAAAACGCCCAAGCAAATGATCAAGGGCAAGGAAATCGATGTGAAGAAAGTCAAGGTCAATCAAGATCAGCGCCAAGGCTTCTGGGGACCCCAGTACGGCGGCTACGGTTACGGTGGCGGTAAAATACCCTTTAATTATAACAATTACACCAACAGAGCACCTTTTTATTTCAACAACTATTTGCCGCCGATGTATTAAAATGAGAAAACAAGTCATGGGACTCTGAACATCTGATTGATTGATTGATTAATTGATAAAACAACTTTAATGTTTATACATATTTTACGTATTTATATATATATATATATGTATATAAATTATATATTTGAAAGACCAGTTTATATACACGATTAAATCAATTTCTCAAAGAGACTATGAAATGACGAGAAGGCCCCTGACGTTGATTGTAATTTTGTTAAGAAAACTTCGGGAGCTTTCCGAATTCAACGTAATTTATTTGCTATCTTCAGTCATCATTATACACATGTTATATTATTATTATACTACAAGTATCTTGTTTTTTTTTTCTTTTTGCACACACGCGGACATGAATTACTTTTTTGTGTGACTCCAATATTACAGCTTGTACAAAAATGAGCTGAAACAAAACTGAAACTGACCAAACAAACTTTTTGTATTTATTTTTAACATTTACGAAATAAATGTTGTTCACAACTTTGTAAGTTTTACACCCTCGTATTTTCTGACGAGAAAACATCAAGTAATTATGAATTTGACGCTATATGTTTATAAATAAATACAAAAATTTAAAAGACAATTATTTTGTGTTCATTGATTACTACTTTGCTTATAAAAACAACATTCTTTCACAAAAAACTTTCCATTTTTTTTTTTTAACTCTATTCTTCTTTTACACCACCGTTCACATAATTTCATCCACACAAGTTCATAAAAAAAGCAGTTGTCCTTTAGACGTAAAAAATTACAAGGTATGTAAATTTCAAAATTTTAGGATATGGTGGTTATATACCTGATTACGGTAATGGATATGGTGGATACGATGACATGTACGCCAATTACGACTATACGGGATATGATGGTTATGAGAACATGGGCTACGCACTGCCCGGAAAACCAAGAAACGGACCTCAGGGACCACGTCCATTTCAAAGACATCAGCCATATTAAATTCAAGGTAGTTTTTGACTAATCTACTTAACATGCTCATTATTTGATTTTTTTTTTTCAAGTATAGTGCCGTGATATTATTACAATTATAATTATTGTAATTAAACTTCATGCTCTCGCCTTTTTCTCTTTTTTGTTTTTTGCAATTTTCAAAATAAAAGACATTTTTCACGTATTTTTACAGATAATCGTATGAAAAATTCAAATACATCCTTAAGTAATTTACTACCACTAGAGACTAGACGTTGTGTTGTACGTAGCCAAGGCAATTGTACAAAAGCAGCGGATCTAAAGCATCGGCAGGGTGCTTACTTATTCAACATTCGTGGATTATTCTACGGAAATTCTTGGAACAACGCGCATGTAATCAAATCTTTTTTTTTTTTTTTTAATTGTTAGTATCTTTTTGCTTATTCTTTAGAGGTGATACTAGGATACTACTATTATTTTTTTTTTTTTCAAGTGTGTGCACTTAGTATGGGAAATGATGAAATCAATTTATTGTTTTCTTATACTCTTTTTTTTAAAAGTATTTCTAATGGTGGGTTATTTTGGAGGAGCTCATTGTATTTTACTTGAAATAAACTTCGTACCCTGGAGGTTACACATATATGTGATTGAAATAATTATGGTGACATCCTCGTGAATAGACAGAAATCGTTGCGGCGAAACAATCGGTAATGCTTGCTTTGTTGATAACAATCGAGGGAAAAGTTCATGTGATCGACACGGCGGTAAAATTGAATTGGGGACTTGAAAATTGCGTTCGAGAAGAACAAAGAAACAAAAGACGTTGTAAACATTATCCATTATTCCGTATGGTGCAAAAACCTCATAAGAGAGGGAGTACCGTGGGATTACAAGCAACAATTTAAAAGAAAAAAATATACCTGTATACACGCAATTTGTTCTCGATCCATTGGGATGAAATACGTGACCGACCCGAAAAGAAACCAATCGGTTGTCAGCTTACACGTCACGCACCCGCACGACATTGACCATACAATATATAGATGCGATGCCAAACAAAGCGAAACATGTGCCGATTTGTTCGAGATTGAGTGACCGTTGGTCCTTTCCTTACCAAAAATACACGGACGTTGTATATCGTTATCTATTATATTGGTATCGAGAAAAAATTAATTGTTTCATATTAGAGGTATGATAAAACGCGTTATCCGAGTCAAAGAGACCGGTCAACTGACGGAGCAAGACCGCCTAAATCCAGTCAGATCCGTTATTAGCTCTGTGAAGTTGAATATTATACGCGGTAGGTATAACCTTTTATAGCACAAATTAATTGTCGTACATGTAATCAATGAACATATATACTTATCGCTTATGTTAAACAGTAGTGCATTAAGTACATTGAATCAACCGGTACTCAATGGCATTTCGATTTTCTTACACTCCTAAAATGAAATATAACTGCTGCATCCTGGACTGTTAAAGAATCACATCGTACTCATCGTTTATTTAAAACCCCATATATTTATACTTACTTGCTCTCACGCTTAGGTATATTTATGTAACATTATGAAAATACATTTGTAGATTGTAGGTACATAGGAGATGCGCGCGTTTCTGACACACACACACACACGGCGAACCGGCGCTCTTCTCTTTTTTTTACATTTTGGCCAATTTATTTGTGAAAACCATCTATACTTACTTGGACAAAATTCTCTCGTGTCGAACGTTTGTTGAAACAACTCTACGACGTATTATTGTCATAGTATACACAAGTTGCAAGATACTTGGATGTTTTAACAAAAAGAGGTACAGGAGCAACCTACTGTTGGAGAGAAAAGGGATGAAAAACATATACACGTGAGAGAGAAAAAGATAGCGGCGCGCCGGAAGAACGGGAGAAGAGAGAAATTTGGCACGAAAGTGACTGCGGGTGAAAGAGCAAAGCTCGACGCTGACACCATACGCGAGCGTACATGTGAACGCGTAAAAAAAAAAATAATAAATAAATAAATTAAATTAACAAAAAAAAGCACCAAACGCGAACAACAACGGATGAATGGTTTTTTTTTTTTTTTAAATATTGGTATTTGTAATGTACACAGTGTATAAAAGAGTACACAGGGACCCAGTTGAGGGTGTACAACCGCCGCGAGAACCGCCGAGCGCTTGCAAGCTCGGACGGGGAAAGACTGACTTGAATCTGTATACGCGTCGCGCACGCAGCTGCTCTATACACCACGTATGTGTACACGTCTATACACTACACATGGGGTGTTTTTTTTTTTTTCCTTTCCTTTCAACCCCTTCTGTACATCTTCGCTCTCTTCTCGTCGGTGGTTTTTCCTCCGTGAGCGCGTGCGCGACACCCAAAGCTATATAGGTGAGGGGTCGATGGCACTGTATTATATACATTGTACGAGTCTGCCAGCACCGTTTGGTTGTGTTGTTACACATTTGTGGGTATAACCAAAATGCTTGATTTTTGGTGCTATACTTTGACGGCGGATCGGCTTCGACGATCGGTAAGTTGAGTTGGAGAAAAAGCCGTCAGAGCACCACGTTGTACGGTGCAAAACAGCTCATCAGTGAAATTTCGTTCACAATTTTTATATCATTGGTCTTTCAATCCTACGTTGCACACTGTTTTTGGTGATTAATAAGGCTTTTCTTACCGATCTCTCGTCTGATGATATAGGTACTAGTCGAAGCATCTATATGAATTAGGGGGGGGGGGAAATGTTGCGTTCATTGTTTAAAATGTTTGACCGCTAGAAGGGGTCTTGGGTGATTGTTCCAGCGATTCAAATTTTCGCGCCTCCGCCGCAAGCACAGCCACACGCACATCTTTTATTGCCGTAGTTTCTATAGGTGCAGGTAGTTTTTATATGTGTTTTCGTAGGAAGTGAATTAAGAAAATGAAAATAGTGTTACACGTAAAAACGCGGGAACTACTGGCTCGGGGCACAGCTGGCGCACGAAAAAAAAAACAACATATGTGTGTATGGCACACACGTTCTATATACATTTTACTGTGTAGTGTTGCCTTTTTATATGCCCGTTCTCGTACCCTCGAAATAATAATAGTGATGATAACCAACGCTCCTCTATATTTAGGTATACCCATCGGTTCGACAACCGCGTGTTGTTTTCACCCTACATCGGTAAAACATATACATGCTTACTTATTCAACCGTTTTGTGTTTTCTCACACGGGGTGGGGGAGAGAAAGCTATACGCACTTACGCCTGTGTGTTTGGCTATTTTCGTACCCCTCCCTTTTTTTTTTTTTTTGTGCTTTTTCCCCGCTACACTTCATCGTAGGATGTTGTACATGTTCCAATTAGCCGCGCGATCAAGCTTTTTTTTTTTTTTTTAATTTTTCCCAACCGCACCGCGTATGAGCTCCAAGCCGATCATAAAAGCTCTCTCTCTCTCTCTAGCCGAAGGCTTTTCCGCTCGTTCGGATGTATTTTTTCGGAAAATCATACCGCGCGAACCCGCGAGATTCTCAAGCTCCGCTTGAATTTGAAACCCCAATCAACCGTTGTCGTTACCGGAAAATTGGTGGATCAAAAATAGTGGAAGCACCGGGGAGGGGGGGGGAAGGTGATGCCCCTTTATCGAATATCGCGATTAACGACGGCGCGCGTCCCATGTAAGCTTCGGAGAACAACGGCTCTCTCTCTTCTCGCCCCACTTGATATTCCTTCTCTCGACGCACGGCTGTACACATGTGTGCCGAAAAGCTCTCTCTCTCTCTATGTATGCCTATTGCCTACTCCCCCGCAAAACCTTGTACGCACACAAGAGAGTGAGAGAGAGAGCTTTTGCTGCTGCGGTTCAGTTTATAATCACGCGGACGGGTAAGGGGGGGGTGTAAAAAATATGTGCACTCAGAGATAAATAAAACGTATACAAGCGCCTCTGGAGAGACGTCGGGGTGGCAGCTGCCCACACTTGCGTGTACTCTCCGTTTGTTACTCCGACGGTTGTCTGCTGGCGCGCCACCCGAGGCGCCTCCACCCCTGTTACCATATGCGTGTGGCTACACACGCATATATAAACTCGAGAGCTACACAATTCACACACAAGCACGCTGCTACCACTACGTATAGCGTACACATGCATGGGAGTATTGTACACTATATGCATTTGTAGGAGAAAAGAGAGAGAGAGGGAGGGAGGGAATAATCGATTATTCGGAAAATTAATCGGCGCCGCGTACGGAGCGCCATCCTTTTATACACTCCTCTCTCGGTCTTTCAAGTATATGTTATTATTGTCGTATCGTTTGACTACAACACACACGCGCGCGCGAGAGAGTCCGTGCACCCCCTTTTTTTTTTTTTTCTGTCACCTGCTGCTTTATACACGCGAGAGTGCTCGGCGCGTCCGCGTTATCTCTCCACTTTTATCTGAGGCACACTGCGCGTATACGTATATTACATACATGGTACAAAGTACATTATCCCCCCCCTCCCCCNCAAGGGAATGTGGGGTCGATTCCCAGTCAAGGCACTCAGCAATGAAGCGAGAAAGCGAGCGGCTTATAAAAATGGAAAACTACAACAAAGTATACTATTAAAACACGTACGTGCTTGTAATTCTTGATAGCAAACGAAACTGAAAACTAAATATCTAGTATGGGCGCGTTCGAAAATTACCGTTCGTTACTCGGATCGCTCGAGCGATCGTTCTAAAGATGCACAGAAAATTCGTTTGTTTGATTATAATCAAAAAATATAAATTTAGCAATATGTAGTTACACTTGGAAATTTTTTTAACCGTAATAGATTAAGAGATAAATATGCTGTCAACGTACATTATTTTGCAAATTTTTTTTGTACTACTAAATAACTTTTTTGAATCGCTCATTAAAATCGCCAATGCTTTTTCTTTTTATGGTTATTCACAGAAATATCGCTAGCATCGACAGAGTCGATCTGCTTCGATGACAGAAAAAGAAATGAACAAACACACACACAACACACAGAGAAGCCAGAAAATTGCTACGTCAAGGGGAAAGGGAGTTCATGCAAGGAGGACTTTGCCTCTGAATTGAAGAAGTCACTACACCTTCTTTCATTCCCCTCGAGGCAAAATATTTTACAGATACCATATACTTTATATCATCCATTTCCACCGTCACTACCACCACATCACAATTACGTCCTATCCCCGGTATCAATTAATTTTTGTACATTACGGCACGTAGGTAGCAGATGAATTATGCGAAACCTATTGTCCCAGAAACGGCTGAATTCGTTCACATGATTTCTGGTTTTTTTTTCTTCGAACAGAAAATGTATATTGATTATAATATAAGGATCGCGAATGTGACTAGATTTTGTTTTAAGGATCGGCAGTAACATCTTGTACCATCAGTTGAATACTCTGAACTTGAGCGGTGTTTTGTTTTTAGAAACTTGGAAGCTTAGAGTGTTTTTCTTTCTGTTTGTCACTAGTAGAATATATTATTATTACCATACTACATTTGCAAAGACAAAATAATTAAATTTTACTCGTAATTTCTTTTAATCTTTTTCTTTGATGTTTTAATACAATCATAATCGCTTATTATTAATACTAGTAATTTTTTTTTAATTGATTAGTGGTTTTCTCTAATGTACTCATAAGAACAAATGTATGAGACTATTATAATTATTATGCAGTATGAACGGTTTTGTTAATTAAAATGTAATTACAGGTTGATCCTAAGCGAGTGAGCAAAAAAGCCCAGCACGGCAAAATCTTCGTTGGAGGTTTGACACCGGAAATATCGGATGAGGACATAAGAAATTATTTCAGCCAGTATGGCACAATCGTCGAGGTGCAGGCACCATTCGACAAGACGAAAAATCAACGCAGAAGTTATTGCTTCGTGACGTTCGACTCGAAAGATGTTGTATACAAATTACTCAAAACGCCCAAGCAAATGATCAAGGGCAAGGAAATCGATGTGAAGAAAGTCAAGGTCAATCAAGATCAGCGCCAAGGCTTCTGGGGACCCCAGTACGGCGGCTACGGTTACGGTGGCGGTAAAATACCCTTTAATTATAACAATTACACCAACAGAGCACCTTTTTATTTCAACAACTATTTGCCGCCGATGTATTAAAATGAGAAAACAAGTCATGGGACTCTGAACATCTGATTGATTGATTGATTAATTGATAAAACAACTTTAATGTTTATACATATTTTACGTATTTATATATATATATA